AGCGTAATTTTCTCAGAAGATTGATAATCTTTACTCGTACGTAACATCGGTATTTTCTTATAGAATTTAAAAAGAAAATTACACAGTAAATAGTACCTGTCCACTAAATCAGATGATTTTTCTTTCGTCCAGTTGAAAGGTTACGGAGACACTCTGCATAAAACAGTGCAAACCAACAGCACAACAAATTGTATCGCATAAAATCGAGTGTAATAGTTAATGAACATAATATAATCAACATTTTCCGTTGTACTGATTAGAAGTTTCAATAGCATTCTGCTCCACGATTTACTTTCGATTGGGATAGATTTCCCAATTACTGCCACCTAAACCCTTTAAGGCCCAGACAAATCGTTATTTCAAAATTATAAGATTAATACATAGTTTGTATCTTGTTACTTTCAAGAGGAAAATATCGATGTTAAACCAACCTATTTTTCAGCATTTTTTAACATTTATTTGTAACTTTTATTTTTACATAACGAATTCTGATAAACTGATAGCTGATAAACACATTCAATATTTTCAAACAAATTTTTCTGCTTCCATAGACAGATAGGCTATAGAATCCAGATGTAGACTACTACAGCTCTCACGCGTTCAAAGTTCAAAGTGCTCTTCGGAACTTCCGGCCGCGAAAGTGTTACCAAACGTTCTCATGCGGCGCGGTTCGTTCAAGAAAACAACATCGTTCCGGAAAATGGACGATGGTGAAAGTTTGCCTAGCAACGGGCACTTTTCCTCCACGTGATATTCACCGTTTGGACACGAATTTTCCTTATGTTTTCACAGCTCGCGATGAATTATTCGTAAGATAACCATGTACACCGACGTGAAAACTCGGGACTTCCGCTAGGGGAAAATGTGGCGTAGTAGAAGGGCTTCGTATCGCTTGGTAAATTTATTTCAATTACTGAAAATTTATAATAATTTATTTCCACAGGACGACAGCCCATTGAATTACAAAACATTACTTGCAGGGTGTCTTAACTAACTTTATCATCTCGAATAATGACTTAAGAGTACACTTTGTGAAAATTTTGAGACGTGAAACTTAAATGGCATCAAGAGGCACATATATAAGGTGCGTGCTTTTTTTGTAGCTGGAGGCATTTTAGAGATTTCGGGGTCACCTTGTTTTTTTTAAGGGAATTACTTATTTTTTGTACCCTAGATCGATATAGTATCAAATTCTGAGTAAAAATCTATTGATACGTCCTAAACCTAATAGTTAACGAGATATTTACAAAATAATTTGTATTACGTATTTACTATCTGGAAGCTATAGGTACTCTAACTGATGCCCCTCAACTTCAATATAGCAATTCCAATACAGTGATTATTTTCTAAATATCTCGTTAACTATTAGGTTTAAGACGTATGAAGGTCAACACATTTTTACTCAGAATTTAACTCTCTATCGATCTATGGTACAAAAATAGGTCATTCCGTTAAAAAAAAACAAGGTGACCCCGAAATCTCTAAAATGCCTCCAGCCACAAAAAAAAGCACGCACCTTATATATGTGCCCCTTGATGCCATTTAAATTCCACGTCTCAAAATTTTCGTCAAGTGTACAAGTCATTATTCGAGGTGATAGAATTAGCTGAGACACCCTGTATATGAAGAGGACATACAAATAACTAGCTTACAATTTGGTGCGTTCTACTTTCAGATAGAATTTACGGTTGTATCCGTAGTAAAAAAATCAACTTGGTTGCTATAATTGTTTGCTTACGTACAAATTCTATTTATCGAATCGCTATTGTTAAATCTGGATGTGTTATGGGTGAAGGTCTAAAAAGTGGAGGAGCTTTATCTGGTCGGCCAGGAGTATTAAATTTTTTAACGCCGTGATCTTCGTACTGTTTATTCGACCGTTAATAATTTTGTCTAGAAAATAGAATAATATCCTCAGAGTGGAAGGGACGTGGGACGAACTTCACCTCATCCAAGTCGTCTTGATAGCGAAGTCTTCGATAGCAACATCGAGCCAAACGTGGGCTGTGTTCGCTTTTATACGGAGTCGTTTCTAACGCCGATCGATCGGGTTTAAACGCTTCAATGAACCGGGACGAGCGTTCCACCCGAAAACTTGTACGGCGCTAGAAGTCTGTCGTGTAAATGCTAATCGAGATTACCAAGTAGATTAGCAGACGTTTCGGCTGACTGGACGCGGAAGTGGTCACTGGTAACGGTTGACGGACGAGATACTGGCGCTACTGCCTCTCGATGGCCGACAGTGTCCTCGCTTTGTTCGACTTACTCTTACGATTACATGTAATTAGACTGCGGATTTTTATGCAAAATGACATTTTTTAACACTAGAACTACCAAACAAGTCAAAATGACTTGTCAGTGTACTCCTATAACGATGATTAAAATGTTATACCAATACATTTTCTAAGATCTTTGGAACTTTTATTACGACATGAAAGTGAAGAAATTAGTTAATTTATAAGATTGTAAATTTCCAACAGCTTGCCATGATTATCGATCGATCAAATTAGACGTGCGATTATCATCGGTAGTTCTAGTGTTAAAGTAATTTTTTAAGACAACAGCAAAGGTAGGAATTTCTTTGTTCTCTGAAATACCTTATTGAGTTCAGAATAAAGTAGAAAACACATTGCATCTGACGAAAGTTTTTTTCCTCTTATGTAATTTCTAAGGGTCTAAGGTTATTCTCTCCCCACGAAATACGATCATGCATAGGTAATAAGAATTGCATAGGATTTTCTCTCCGAACACCAAACTCTCAGCAGATCTCCTTTGGAATCTTATCTTTTTTTAAAATCCACGCAGCTACCGAAGTATATTTATTATATTATAATCGATCTACACTTTGACTGGCCTAGTTTCCAACGAGGCTAAGATCCATTTTTACATACGACGCTCGGTATAGGATTCTGTACAATATTACTCTTGTCTGACGTCGAGATTCTAAAAAACAATGGACACAGTTCTGACATCCTTACATCGACTGACAACTTGTCCCGTCCTTTTCTCTTCTCGATCGCTCATCCGTTTGACACGCTACGGATGACGATGCTATTAAAAGGTCAACAGGCCGCGATTATCAGGAGAGAACATCGTACTCAGCGATCCTGTAGCCAGTCGGATAGCTCTAAGAAAATTATCGGCTTAAGAGCAACAGCCCACCCTCGACATCTAGTCCATCGGAAGTAAAGTTCAGCCCCAATTCGTTCTCCAGAATCTACTGGAATTTCCATTTAGCCACGGGGGCTTCGTGAATTATGTTCCTTCGCTCGGGCAAACAAGCTTTCCCAGGTTGATCTTGCTTAACGTCCCAGGTAAACATTCCTTTACGTCACGAAGATTAGCGTCGAGCGTCGTAAGCGAGAGCTTCGAACAGCCTGCGATGTCACGGGATTCGTGCAAAAGGGAAACGAAACCGTGTCCGTGCAAGGGGACGCCCTAGAGAAGCTCCTCGAAGGACACCACCGCGAATATAGTAAATCCTCGATGAGTGTAACGCTGAATTTTTAATGAGGTTTAGCACAGTGATAAAGGTAGGTTTTGTTTCAGCATATGGCCATTAGTTTATGGGATATTTAATGTTCAGTGCCGAGGAGCCGTCGAACACTCACCGAGGATTTACTGTAATACACGATCCACCTGCCGCGATAGATGCTCCTGGAAGTCCTCGACGAAGACCACAAATAATCTCGGCTTCCGCTAGGGGAAGAAATGAGGTGGCGAAGGGCCTCCTACTACGTTTCTGTATTCTGTTTATTTTTATATTTTCGACTTGCTTATAAAGTAATTCCCATTTTTCAAAATCTCGAAATTCCCAGGATCATTTATATCAACTCTCAGAATTACTCGAATTCCAAAAAAATAGAGCCGGGATCCCGGGATTGCATTCCCTAGTTGCAAACCACTCTCGAGTTCATTCGACCCCCACGAAGGACATCGAAGAGGAACACGAAGAAGCGTCGCTGAAAAGCGTTCTCGTGGCTTGGAACACCGAATATGGCGTGCGCGCGCAGAGGGGTCCGGGATACAAGGATTTTCAGGTCCCCGCGAGAGAGACGCAACCGTGGTTTCGTCCTTCGGGGCCCAGACGTTTCCACTCCTCCTCCATTGGGCGACGCGCTCTCAGGGACGACCAACGCGGAACTGAACCCCCCCTCCCCCTACCCCTCGCCTGGAACTCGAGGGTCTCTCTGCGTACGCAGCGAACACTCGATCGTTGCCCTTGAAAACTTGGTGTGTTTGGTTCGATGGAACACGTCCGACCTGTGTCGGAACGTGCACATCTACGGAGCACATATCGAGGAAAAACGTATTTCACGTTTAAACGGTCTTTCGCTGTAACGCTTTCGTAAACATGTTTTCCATCTGATTCTAGTTGCGGATAATGTCGAGTGAGATTGTTGTTCCGGGGAAATGTACACTGACGAGCAAACTCGACTTCTTCTAGAGGAAAAAAGTGGCGTAGGGAAAAGGCTTTCTACCATTTGAATTCGGAAGTTTCTGAAATTTATGCGACATTACCATACATTTTAACACTTATTTCAGTACTTGAAATAAATTTATCAAGTTCTAGAAGGCCCTCAACGTACGTCAGTTTTTCTCCTAGTGGAAGCCGAGTTTGCTCGTGGGAGTAGAATCAGTGAGTGCTTAAGTGGAAATGGTGGAATATATCCTGAGGAATTGAATATACGAAAGAAATGTTCCGACGAAAGTTGTTCAGTATTGAAAGGCGCATTGTGTGGTATAAATCATAATTGGAAAATAGAAAAGCACAAATTAATATTTAAGGGTTGGTTTCTCCCTAATGAACCGAATATCAGTAAAAACGAAAAATTGCACAATGCTTCTATCGAGGTCCCCTGAAAACATGTGAAGTTTAAAAATAATCAGAATTTTCGAGATACCGAAGCTCCCTTGTCAGTGGATCGATAAATAGTGAATATAATTACGTTCTGTTTACGGTATAACCGTCTAATTCTGTTATGTTTGGATCCATGCAGAACGGAGATCTATGCATATCGATCCTGCATCCGCCAGTAGACGATCCACAGAGCGGTGAACTGCCATGCGAGAGGTGGAATCCAACACAGAACGTCAGGTGAGTGTACCAACATGGAAACGTATGCGAAGCTTCAATTCTAAATACATTGGACGTCTGGTGTACGCCACTAATTCAATTGCTATCGAATCAGAGTTCAAATCGATACGAGTACCGGTGTTACTGTTCGATGGTATCAGATTGAAATTACATATAAAAATATATTCAGTTCACATAAAAAGATAAGTAACATTTATCAAGTACAGTAGAACTCCACGTATCTGAACTCCTCGGGAACCAGACAGTTCATATTATTGGGCTGTTCAAATAATAGTATGTGCACACAGTCACATCTCTGGAATAATTTTATAACTTCTTGGATTATATGAATCGAGTTGTCTTGCTCCCATCGACATATTTACGATAAAAGACTCGAGTGCGTCAATACTTTTTGTGTTCACCTTGTACATATACATAATCGGCCAAAAGTTTGAAATCACTTGCTGATTTCTACCAGAATCAAATGCTCTGGTAAATTTTGTCCTGACCTATTTGTTAATATACCAGATGTTAACAAGAATATATTCTGAGACATTTTAGCATTTTCTTATATTCAAAATATTCTTATAAAAATCATAGTTCAAATTTAAGACAACGTGTGGCCTAATAACCTTTCGTTAATACCTGGAAAAACATTCTGTTTTCCTGTTATTTAGGAACACATGGATTCTTCTGTTTATTAAAAGGGGGCCCAATGCTACAATATTAGATTCTAATGTCTAGAATATTTCAGGTCGTCATTAAAACCAATACCGATTTTTGAAAAAGTACCCATTTCTATACAGAATGGTACAAAATATAAAATATGTTGCTTATTAATTTTTTGACAAATGAAACTTCCTCGGTCACTCTAAGACATTCACGTTTTCTTAAACAGAATCCGATTTCTCATAACACATTACCTATTGGCTACTGTTTTAGTAAATACTAAAACAGTACAGGTTTAGTAAATCCAACTTTTTTGTTTCCTAGGAACTGTTATTAAAAAGTTCGATCACAGTAGCAAAATTATATTCATGAAAAATGGCAGCAACTCTAATAGACTAATGTAACAATTTCTTCTCCAACCCAAATCTAAGGGTAAATTAATAGGTTCTTTATGTATAAGCACTGAAATTTAAAAGTCTATTAATAGGCTACCGGTCAGTAAACCGTTGATCCCAAATTTTTGGCCGATTGTGTACACAATATAAACTATTCTCGGCAGTTAGCCGCAAATATTTAACCGACCACCGTACGAGGCATCGAAACCGCGGGCAAAAAAAAAATGCTAAACGCGTTATGTTTTTCCGCAATAGGACGATCCTCCTGTCGGTGATCTCGCTACTGAACGAGCCGAATACGTACAGCCCAGCGAACGTGGACGCCTCTGTGATGTATAGGCGCTGGCGCGACTCCAAGGGTCGGGACAAAGAGTATGAAAATATCATAAGGTACGGTAAATATCGATCTATCCCCTCGTCTGCCCCCTATTTCCCCGTCATTTGCCCACTCGACGATCGGGCCGAGATCCAATCGTCGTTCGAACACTATAGATTGTTTTTGCCCGATTTTTCCGTGGACGCGCGTGACGCCCAGAGAGATTGTATTATCCAACACACGCGGAGACGGAGTAGTTAACAGAGAACATTTACGCGAAAATGACATATTGGTGTCGTATAAATGAAGCCGTAGAAATTTACAAAGGTTATAAATTCGAACGGATTCCAACACGCGCATCCCGACTAGTTGAAACAAAAAAAAAAAAAAAATCACGGTTAATGAAAAGAGAGAAAAAAAAATTAGAAACGCCAGCCCGAAGGTCGGACAAAGTTAACCGAGCGCTCGCGCGCACATTTCCGCCACGTATGTATGTATGTATGTATATATACGATATATGTACACGTTTCTGCCTGTCCGTCGACGAAAACCGTGTGGTGTTTTGCTCGTTCCGCAGAAAACAAGCACAGGCGGCCATGATGGAGGCCGAGAAGGAGGGCATCGTCGTGCCGGTGACGCTCGAGGATTACTGCATAAAGACGAACGCGAGGCCGGCCGAGCATCAACTGGACATGACAGACTTCTACGACGACGAGTACGAGCTGGACGACGACGAGGACGATCAGTTGAGCGGCAACGAGTACGAGGACGGGGACGACAGTGGCAACGGGGAGTCGTGATCCATTCCCTAAAGGGGCCGACACAACATACACACTCCACACACACGGATACACAGAAATACACGGATAAAATAAAACTCGAATATTAAAAACAACAGGAAAAGGACAAAAAAAGAAATCGCTAATTATTATCAGTTCTGTATAGATTAATAAATTAACGGGCTTCTAAACCGGACACACTCACTCTCTCTCTTTCTCTTTCTCTTTCTCTTTCTCTTTCTCTCTATTCAGACGTGCCACCCTATAAATTCAAGTACACGCGTAATCGAACCACCTTATCTATCTGTTCTCTCCTCGTTCTCATTGTAGCGGGACCCGCGGCGAGTATATAACACGTATGTATTGTATTTCAAGGATGTCGTCAATTATCGCGCCGTTTCACTACCACCATTCACGTCACGAGGTGTTTTTTTTTGTTTTTTTTTGTTTTAGGGTAGGATGAACACCGTGAGTTCGCGCCGGTCCGACGCGCGTGTTTTCCTTTCTTTCTTTCTCTTCCCCCTCCCCCCCGGTCGAAAGAGATACACAGGTTAGGTTGTCCCGAAATAGCTTCGCCTCTCGGAAATGAGGGGTTCCTGGGATGATTTGTAACAACTTTTTGCTTAGCGAAAATGTTATCCGAGGGTTTATTAACGAGATATTAACGGAAAACCCTGACCAATCAGAGCGCGAATCTGCCGGCCGAGCTCCCGCGGTAGCATTGACTGCCAATCGCAGCGCGTAGCCAAGCTTGCCACTCTTAATATCTCGTTAACGAAGCCTCGGATAACATTTTTTTTTAAGGAAAAAGTCGTTTCAAATCATCCCAGGAACTTCTCATTTCCGGGAGTCGAAGCTATTTTGGGACACCCTGTATAGTCGGCTCGAGTCGTCGACGTAAGTTCCGGCCGAATTAACTCGCGAACCGTGAACGCAAAACGGAACTCGAGATCTGTCGCGAGATCCTCGAACAAGAAATCTCGAAATTGTAAGAATTATCGGGAGAACCGTCGAGATTTTGTCGTATTTACACACAAGAGCTCCTTTGACTTAACCCCAATATTACATACACGGTGTACGATGATAATCGGTTAGAGGAGCACCGCTGTTGTGCCTGTTGTTGTTGTTGTTGTGTTGTGGTCGGCACGTCTATATCTTTTTAACTAGGCGAAAACGAGAAACAAGGAAAAAAAAAGTGTGCCGAAGGAAAGAAGGACTAATTGATTTACCTCACTCTCGGGGGGGGGGGGGTACGGCGCGTCTGTTCGATAAATGAAACACGGAGAAAAAGCGTTTCAAAACCATGTGATAATGAAGTACACAATGTGTGATCGGGGGGGGCCTGGCTCAAAAGTAATCCGGTGTATCATATGTATGTACAGAGTTATCGGTGTGGGTACATCAATTGATCCCGCGGGCGTGTTTTCTCTTTCTTTTCGAGACTCGGATGACGTTGATATAGATATTTGCATTCGAATAAAAGCGCGAAATTCAAACTCCGTTTCGTGTGGATTATTTATGCTACGAAACCAAACAACACGGCTCGGTTGGAAATTCGATGTGTAAGCGAGATAGAGGAAAGAAACAAACTGTCAGTGATTGCCCCTGTGGTTCGAGCGTAAATTCGTGGACTCGAGACACCCCGTATTGTATACTCGATTTTTCGTACGATTTACCGCTCAGATATACTACTGTATACGCGACAAGATGTTTCGCGGATTTCTCGGTCCGAAAGTTCAGAAGCTACACCCAACGAAACGTCTCACTCGCTCTCGCAGGTCATTGACAGCTTGTTTGTTCACGATTCACCTAGGACACGTAGAACATAATTTTTTGCTATGGACGATATACATACATATAAATATATCTTAAGTTTCCAATTTGGTTTTTTTTGTCATTAATATAAACATTGCTAAATCTTTCGACAAGGAGCGCCTCGGTCGCGTCCGCGGTGTCTCTCCGTATTTACGTGCATTGCGCGCTACATCCCACAAAGTTAGTTTAGCTTATACGACATTTATTAAGATCTCTTGATGTTTAAGTATTATCTTTCACACACGGGAACAGAAAGCTTTGTAGGAAGAAGTTGAATTTAAACGTAAGCTAATTTACTTAAGTGAAAGGAATAATAATATCCCGGATACATAAACGGCTAACCCTACTCTGTGGGTGGTGTATCTGTGCTCGTACGACTGAAAAAAAATTGTAAATAGTACACGAGACCCGAATCTTTAACGCGACACGAAATGATGTAAATGGTATTGTCTTGTCTTCGTTCGTCATTAGCCCGTTTTATTGGAAGACCAAAATTAAATGTTGAAAGTGTTAAAAAGAGAAACGATTTAAAAAGAAAAAAAAAAGAAAACGAAGAATAACGAAATAAAAGCCAGAAGGTTATTTAAATTTCGATAATTGTCTGAAAGATGCATATACTCAGCGCTTTGTAGTGGTTAATAGCGGAATAAGTAAAACTATCCCTCCCCCCCCCCCCCCCCCCCTAGTTCCTGACATATATTTACGAAAACCTCTTTCGTTTCACGTTGTCCCTTAGCTACTTAATAATAGACGAAACTGTGTAAGACACCGACGTAACACTAATAATTTGTATACTTTATAATTCTTTCCTCCTTTTTTTGTACATACCAATAAAAGAAAATCTCTTCGTACAATTATTAATAAAAAAAATAGCGGAATAATATCACAACGCTTTGTTAATAGATTGTAAGGAAAAAAAGGTCACCGTACGATCGTACTAAGAAAATGAACGCCGTACGCCTATTCTCGGGTAAGTAAATTTTATTCGCAAGAGTCATTCGGTTCGATATAACAAGAATAGTACCCAATTCTTTTTCCATTGTACAAGATCATTAGAGAAACACACATAAATTCGTGGAAATGCAACATAATTAACTTACACACTCTGCGTTCGTGATTTCTTTTCTAGGGATTCCCACTAGTATGTGATTTTTCGGGGTACATGTCATGGGTATGAATTTCGAGAGATACACCCTGTACCCGAATTGCTCGGCCAGGATCTTTCTATCGGTGTCCACGATCGCCATGCACTCGTATCCCTGCTTTGTTTTCACATTTTTCTCGTCGTGTGTCTGATCGGCGGCGTGACTGAGGACCATGTAATTTTCCCGGCTCATGCCCTTCTTGAAAACGTTGCTCCTTGGGTACGTGAGGTGATGGCAATCGTGCAACGAACCGTAACAGCACGGGCAACAGACGAAATTTGCCCGCCTCCTGATGCACTGTTGTATAACTAGATCAGTCGCGACGCCGCACGCGTGCAGCGATAAACCAATATCAAAATCTCCCTTAAAATAGTCTAAGTTGCACTGATAAAAGTTTATGTTCGTCAAGCTCATCTTTTTCACCCGCTCTTTGGCTCTGTTCAACGATTCTTCTTTGTTCTCTAGCAATGTAATGGTGCAATACGGTAACATGTATGCTAGTAGAATGCCCAAATGACCGCTACCGGAACAGAAGTCTACTATTACATCTCCAGCTCTCGCTAGTTTCATTACAGGCTTGCACATGTTCTCCAATTGTTCTTGTTTTCTCTTTAGTCTCGCTGATGGCAGGGAACCACCTTCCGGAGTGGCGTGGAACGGTACCGTGGACCAGTCTAACAACAATTCCGCGGCAAAAGGCTCCTGCTCGAGCCGCGTTTCTATATTTAATCTCTTAAACAATCCCAACGATTGCTCTACATCGTCTTGCTTCGTGAAAATACGGCTTCTTGGTTTGTATCTTTTGGGATCACTCTTGTACAAACTTTGATTCGCTACTTGAGGAAGAGTATAAACGAGCCCGTTCGAATTTTCGCGTTTTAACACCGGCAGACATTCCAAACAGTCGACGATGGTTTGATCCTCGATCATTTTCTTGTACCATTTAGCGGTTAACGGAAGTAACTGCAGCGTCGACTCGCTCGAGAATACGGTTAGTAGGTTATGCATGCAGACAAATATAATTATATCAGCCAGGGTAACGTACGAACCCTCGGCGTACGTATGTTCCGACAAATGCATTTCGTCTCGCGAGATTGCGTTTTCATCGAGGAACTTTTTAGACATGGTGTACTTGTACAAATTGTGCAATCTGACAGGTTGCGACATATGGCATTCAAACCTGGCCATGTTGGAAGGCAGTTCGTTGCGTATCGTGTTATCTGCGTACAAAAATTTCATCGTCTGAATCAGATCTACCTCGCAGAATTTTGTCCATACACTTGCTTCGGAGCAAGCCGTTAGATACGAGTCTTTGAATCCCAGTAACTTTCGGCAATGATGCTTTGGATGTTCGGCCGTGACATCTTTGATTATTTGTCGCAGGATCGCGCAGAGGCCAGCGATACAGCTTGCCTTATTCACAACAATGATCGGCAGCTCGCACGAACTCGCAGAGTAAGGGATTTTATTTGCATCCATAACTTCGTATACAAAAGTGGAAATATCTATTCTGTATGCTCGTTCGAGAGGCTTCTGTTTACTAAGGACGAGTTTAATATTAATCTTAGAGTCGCAATACTTTACAGTGAATAAAGCCACTATGGTTTCTATGGGTGCTATGCATATTTCTGCCAAAGAGTATACTTCCAAATAGACTTTGTCCATTTTGATCAGTTGCCTATAAAACCTTCCAATTGTCCATAAAAGATGGATTCTGGTTAAGGCTGTTTACACACTAGCCCTTAATTGTCTTACTACTTTTCCTATAATCCTTTGCCTCAGGACATTTTCTCTCCAACAAACACTGATGCAGGAACTTAAGGCCAGAATAAACATGAACGCTTCAAACTTCCAAAATGCCCTTTCTTCTAACCAAGCTACCCTGTCACAACTAAAGTCCACGTATCATTAGAATAACAAATTCACCAGTACATATTTTTATAATAGTAGTCTGAATAATAGAATAGAATTAATTACCTTCTTGTTATTGTTTCACCACTTCTACATTTTAGTACTTCCTTGTATCTTGCATGGACACATACATCAATGCTTTTGCTTGCTACTTCAAAAGCAGAACAAGGATGACATTCTGAAATTACTTCATAATCATCACCGGACACGCATGTTGTATTATTTTCATAATTTTCCAAATACAGTTTGTTGGGGTTATCTGTCCAATGACTCTCCACAATTAATACTAAAACAGTTAACCTATAATGGAAAGTATAACTCTGCTATATACACATTTCGCAGTCTTACAGACTTTGGTAGTTTACGTTTTTAATCATTTTGTGTAATATTGCAGAAAATGATTGTTAGTAGAAGTATAAAAAAGTCTAACCCTCCTAAAAGTGTAATGCCAATTAACATTCGTTTCTTTGTACACAGCTCGATCATTTCGATGCACGCTATTTCGTGAGCTCCACTTTCCTGTCAAGTTACGTGACCCATATGAGAAATTAGTGAAACCTATCCGAACAGACGGAATGGAAACAAGTTCAGTCTTCAAGTCACTTTCCGAGTAAACACTATTTTCACTACATAAATCCTACACTAAATAAATACATAAAGATAACACGTGCTTTATAAGCAACGATTTTGTTATACATTCTTGTCACAAGGTGGCACAAACACCAGTCACCACCTACATAATTCCCCATGCGCAGGAGGCAAGGAAACTTCAATTATCACTATTAAGACTGCGGATGTTTATGCAAATGTAAACTTTTGTGGAGTAATCTGTAGAAATGTGTTGCAAAGTATGTACGAGTGCCTTTTAAAATAAAACCTAGCGTAAAATGCAGGATATAGTACGTATAAACAAAAGTACATACAAATATACATATATTCGTTGCTAATGCTGTATTAAAACCTAGCGTAAAATGCAGGATATAGTACGTATAAACAAAAGTACATACAAATATACATATGTATATTCGTAGCTAATGCTGTGTTTTTGAACTCAAGGATATTCACTTACCCGCGTTAAACAAGAAGAGTACTTTTCGAGGTTTATACATTTCTCTATGTCATAAGCACAAGCAGATCAAGGAAGCAATCAGAAACCAAACAAGATATAAAAATATGTTTTATTTTTCACACAGTATTACATGAACAGTAATTGCCATCAGGCAACGAGATTAAACATACTAAACGACTTGAATATCACTTTAACACCTCAGAATCGCGCTCTTTTAAGTAATCCCACTTTACAAACAAGTGGGAGTGCGAAACGCGATTAATTTGCAAAAAGCATTATAGTAAAAGCGGTAGAGATAGTCGCGAAGGAAAACTGGCTCCCCGTCGCGGCATCGAAGATCGAGTATTATGGTCGTGATTATGTATAAGTGGTTACTTCATTTTGTTTTTTACTTGTATTAATTCTGCGCGACAGAAGGCACGTGCAAAAAAGTCGTGAATTATTTGTCCTGTGTGAAAATACTGATTCATCGTTACCCGAAAATAGTTTCTCTTTTGGAATTGGTCTGATGTATAAGCTATGCACGAAAGACATTTACATAGTATGTATGTGTATATTAGTCGAAGAGAGAGTTGAACCCTGTACATCTGATATGCTTTTGAAAGAGATCAATACCAATGAATAGAAATTTAAAGATCGAACAAAATTAACCGATACAGCAAGAGGAAGAACATCGAAAAGGGCGATTATTTTTCTTAAACTTCCCTCTTAAAATGGCTAGTGTTAAGTCTAAATTTGAATACAGTTGATTTAATACGAACAATATCAAAGAATTATTATTGTCATCTGCCGCAGAGTCCAATTCCTCAGCGGTAACGTCGATTTGCCCAACACTGAGAACAATAGTATTCATTTTCCACTGAACCAAAGAATTGACACTCTTCGCTGCGACATTCTTTAATAATAGCCTGAAATAGACCTCAAATTACTCAACGTTGTAACTCACAATGGGCCGTTCGTTTAACACATACCCCTAAACTGTCGCTGTCATTCCATCGTTCCGGCCCTGGTTTATCAGATGACGCTTGGTCATTGTAAAATGTAGACCTACAAAGAACACTTACAGAACCTCTGTTAACAGTAACTAATAGAATTCTATTATGTACTTACGCATACCTAGAAAGATAAAGCGTACGATCTTTATTTGGATTAGTTGGTAATAGTTTGCTAACACTATCATGACTTCCTCGGTCACTGGCAGTGTAAAATTTGGATTTGCCAGCACCGTAATTCATTTCGTTACCAGTCTCATCGACTTTATGATCCTGCAGGTACCTACAAGACATTACAATTATTGTAAAAAATAAATGTAACTTAAATACGATTTAAAAAAGATGTAATGTAAAACCTTGCGTGAGCACATTGAAGATAATTTTGAAGCATCTGATCCACATACTGATGACGCCTGCTTCTGATCCTTATACATAGCAAACCTTCCATGGGAAGTCCTCCCGCTGTAGGAGGCGGACTCTTTGGTCTTTTCGTCATAGGCCATAGTTTCTTACTAACCGATTTACCAATCGATCCAAATTGTTTCGCAACGCCCAACAACTGTTTTGCCGTTTTAGATAATGAACCATCCGTGTCGGTTAATCTTTCAATTTCTTCCGATATAAAATTTTGGTATTCACAGTCTAGATACTCTCGTAGTAAGATTTCCATCTAGACGTAAACATTATGTAAATACATTTAAATGCATAGAGCAGTTATGTACATTTCCAATTGTAAAATTAACTACCGTATCTTGTTGACACACCAATAACTCCCGAGACCCTTCTTGCCAATCCCAATCAGGTCCGGGATCTACTGCAAATAAAACTGGTAATAATTGACCCGTATCGGGGTCAACTAAAGGTATGCTAACGCCTTCACTACCACCGTCTCCAAAATCACTCGCTCCGTCAACGATGACGAGCGGAGAGAAGTGAGCAGAATGATACGCTAAAAGCAACGGAGTTCTGTGACAGCGAGATGGAGGTACTTCTAATGGGAGGTATACACCGCCAAACGGTATTGGCGCTAAAGCTACACCTTCAGCATCCTTTAACATAGTCTCTGCTATAACTATAATAGGTCTCTTTAAAGCATGAGCCAATGCTAATACATGTACCTACAAGAATTACAAAAGTGTTAGTATAATCAAGAAGTTAGTATGTTTTGTAAGTAAACAAAAAACACTACATACTTCTTCGAGACTTTGATAAGAAGTGGCCGTCTGATTCCTGAAAATAGGGGAAGCCATATCTACAATGGTTTGCCATTCCGTTAACCATTCTGCTTCTGTATATGACAATCCTGCAACTGCATTTAAACCCATTTGCCGCCACTTCCATCTTCTAAACAAAGCGTGTCTGTATTCTCCTTTGGCCAAAGTACTATGCAGTGCTTCCCTTAGAGTAAGAAGCCTATCGTGAAAGCCCCACATGCCAAGAGAAGCTGCATGTAAAAGGCAATTGCCATCTCCAGATGTTGCCAGAGGCCAAAGCACTCTGTTGTTGCCATTTTTACCACTGCACCACCAGTTTAAACGACCAGCAGCTTCCAAAGAAGTTAAACATCCACCCTCAATCAGATCTTTTTCCAAAAATTGACGAAATGAATCTAAGTGCAAATGTTTATTAAATTAGCAAAATATCACAAGGAATATTTACACTTTGTACATTAGGATATAAAATACCTGGGTATAGAGTTAAATCAGGAAGAGAAAATGTAAATTCAGGAGTATCTAATGATCCTATCTGTGAACGAGCATAAGAAACTATGGCTGCATTTTCAGTTGCTCTAGATATACCTCTTGCCAGTTTTTTCGTAGCACCACTTGCATTCTCCAAAGTATTATTGGAAGTTGACTCTTTCTCCAACCCATCGTATGGGGATAGTCCAACGTTCATCACCTTGCTTTAATACACCTGCAAAACAATACACTACCTCTAATACTAAGAATATTATAACCACTGGCTAATTGTCATCTAGCCTTTAATCCAAAGCAACAGATACTTAATGTTCAAGCAATCTTACATAGGTATATATTAGTTCACAAAAATAGAACAAGGCTTCATGGTATAAATGCTTAAATGAAAAAGAAAAAAGTATCAATTAATTGCATGCTATCAAATGTACTTAATTGTCAACATTAACGGGTACGGATAATCAATTTGTAGGCAACATAGCATTTCGATTCTCGGAATTACGAAATATCGGGAGTGACTAAATCTAGACAGAAGTACGATTGCGTGTACACGATATATATGTAGATACGTGTATAAATCTATGCATCTGTGTTGGCTGCGATTACTTAAAAAAACGCAAACCTTGGCCCGTATATCGAATTAGCGCAACGGAATACAGTAGCAGGTTTTCGTTAAATGGTGTTCTAATTGTTTTACGACGCGCAAACTGCTCGTATTGTTTCTCATATTTCGCAGCACGGCGCCCGTACCGAAGCCTTGCTGGGGAAGGCTGTCCACGACGTGTCGAATACAACTAAGGATCTGTTCGTACGGGCAGTGGTATAAACACAACATAACCTAAAGTATGGCAGCCTCCGAACTGCAGCCGAGTAGGAGGGCAAGAAGCGAATTGAAGCGAATTATTATTGTTGCACACGGAAGTCACCGTGAAACTTTAAACCGGTCACATGTCAGACTGACGAGAGGGTACAAGTACACCGTTCTCGTATTTACGCAGTACCGTGTCCACTACCCACCAGTAGACAGGTTCGTCGGTTCGTCCGAACGTCCGACCACGGTAGTGCGATCAATTTTGAAATTCAAGTAAACCATTCGCGCACCCGTCCCTCTCGTAATACATATTGCGCTGCTAATACTGGCTAGAAATGCGTTTGACCTTGAAAGTATGCGTTGCATGCGCACACACCTATCCACCCACACTAAGGCGCTTCGTGTGTACACAGAGTGATCCAAAGTCATCAATATGCTCGAGTTGTTTGTGGTTCTTCAAGTATCGACTTCTCCACGTTAGATCAGCAGATGAAATCTATAATATTTGGCCTGTCGTCTATATACTACATATATCCATTCTTAGGGTTGACAGGTATATAGAAAACGAACATCATTCGGGATTTAGAGAGAAAAATAATTCAAATATTCGAAAAATGAATACTCATATATATAGGGTCTTACAGAACAATAGATAATGTGATTTTTGAATGAACAACACACCCGAAAAATGTATCCTAAATCAAGTAAGAATACCAAGTCGAAATGAAAGCTCCCTGGTAAGCAGTTGTGTGCAAGTTTCGAGCAAGTTGCCAGCAATAAAGCACAAGTGTTGTCTACAAAACCGTAGCTATCTGTTTCCGCATTTGACTACAGTTTTGTAGGCAACACTTGATGTCAACATATTTAAGCAAGTTGCCAGAAACTTTTGCTACAACGTTGATGTCAAGTTGAACGCAAGTCCGGTAGAATGTAGAAGGTTTGCGCTGTCAAAGCCCATTAAATTTTGTATGGGCATGCGTATATTCGGGAACTCAAGTGACTAAAGGTGGCAGCGCGATCTCACTGTCATGGCGGCGGTGGAAAGTATAAATTATTTAATATTTATTATACTATTACTATAAGAAAATAGATTTTGTTGTAGATTTTATAGTGCAATTAACACTAAACCTACCACAACTGGTCAAATGATTGGTTTTGCCATGCAAATTTCTATCTCCCTGTGGGATTCGATAGGTTTAGGGTTAAGAATGAAATTAAGAATTCATGACATAATTGATTATTATTGACTTTTTACGGGAATAAATCATTTTGACGATACTTTTATTATTAATATATTTATTTTTCTAGTAAATTTCTTGTAAGTTTTCGGAGCGAAAACGCACAACATCATCATTCGTAAGACAAATGAAACGTGCTACTTTTCGTAACGCACGTCGATGTGTACTTTTAGTCTATGAAACGATCCATACCTACAAATTTCTGTATACCCTAAATTTTATTTGTTATAATGAATAATAATTTGCCTGGAAAAATAGCTGATGGAATGTTTAACAACATACCCTGAAGATGTGATTGTTATAAGTATTACAGTATCGAAAATATTTAATTTATTGTGATATAATTTCACGTGAATCAAGTAAACCAAAAATACTGTTGCTAAAACTGTAACAATCATTATCAAGGACAATATCAATCAAACATCAATCAAAGAATTCCTACTGATCTACAAATTTTGATGAATTCCTTGCTTAAAACGCTACCAAGGCACATTTTCATTAAATAATATTTAGTTAACAATTGCCATAAACATTAAGACATAGTCATTGTTTAATAATTTGCAATAAAGTAAAAGTTATTACATGTAAAAGTTTATTACACGGTCCATATCTGGAAAGTTTCTGTATATTTGGATTTATATTTGTTATAAACAATAACAATTTGCATTATAAGACAGCTGACAGAATGTTTAACAATATTCCTCAGAGATGTAATTGTTATAACAATTACTTTATTAGAAATAATAAATTAATCGAGAAATAATTTTTGGCGCGCTCGAGTTTCCAGTGCACTAAATGTTCGCGCACCTGTCCGCGCACCAGTGCGCGCAAGCTCGCGGTCGCTGCGCGCCTATAAATACGAGCGCGCAATGAAAAATCCTCAGTTCACTCGCGTCCGCGGACCTCGTTGAGGTTATTCCACGATTGCTGACCACTGGTGGACACTGGTCAAGGGGTGTTCAAGGGGTCCTCTCTATTATCCGAACTCGACTCAGAGGTTTCTTTTTTTTAAATTATTTTAATTAATTGGGTTTTTTTAATTTATTGTAATTGTTATATTTTAATGTATTATAATTTGGTACTTGTGTTTTATTCTAATTTATTTTAATTATATGTTTTATTTTGATTTTTTTTAATTATATGTGTTTTATTTTGATTCATTTTAATTAATTGTGTTTTATTTTAATTTATTTTAATTAATTGAGTTTAATATAATTTATTATAATTAATTGCGTTTAATGTAATCCATTTTAATTCCTTGTGTTTTATTTTAATTTATTTTAATTACTCGAGTTTAATTATGATTTGTTTTAATTAACTATGTTTTGTTTTGATTTATTCTAATTAATTGTGCTTTATTTTGATTTATTTGAATTCAATAAACTCAAGAAAGAAGCCATCCTCCGAGGGATTTCAATATTTATAGTATAAGCGTATTTAGATATCTAAGTTGTTTGTAAGATTATTGTGGAAGGTGGATAGATGGAACTTGTGTTTCCATCTATCTTCCTTGGGTCTCCACTCGCAGCAACCTCCTCGTGGTGAGACTCGGGCAATTGGTATTATCTTCGGTAAAGTATTGTAAACCGAAGGTAATACCAAGCTAATGGCTGCGAACTTAAAAGTAATTTCTCTAGTTAGAAAAATAAATGTAAGATCGAATATTTTTGGTAAATGTTCTATCGTACATGAAACTTAGATTATTTTAAGACTAAATGTAAGGTAGAAAATCTTTGTTAATTATATGAATACGTGAAGCTGAATAATAAAGTGCAAGGAGTCACGTCCACCAGTCGGTGGCGAAAATTGGAACTAATTCCAGAACTTCTTCCAAAACTTAGAAGTTTCAGAATTAATTATTTTGTTATTATTTCTTATTTCTTATTACTTTTTTGGTTAATTGATATTAGGAATAGGAGTGGAGATAAAGCCAGGATTAATAAATAACGCATATTTATGATTTGATTGTTTTTTATTGAGAAAAGCGTTCGAAAATATACAATTTACAATAGTATTTCTAAAAATTAAACAACAATTGCCTTAAGTACTACTTGCATACATGATTTAACAATATATTTATAATAATATTTGTATAGATTCAATAGAAGTGCCCTAAGATACTTATTTTACTTAAATCCTACTTGTCTATATGATTTTACAATGTACTTGTAATGATATTTATATAAATTCAGAAAAAGTAGGCTTAGATATTATTCAAGCTTATAAAATATTATAACTTATATGCCGCAAATATTTCCCTCCCCTGTAATTTGCAAATCTTCCGTACCGTTTTCAATGCTTCATAAAGGTTTCATAAGTTTGTCGCCGAAATTTTTATTACCGGTGGCATACGATAGACGTGTACAGAAGAAACTCCGTGTGGTGAGAACGTGGGGTCGTAGAACCCCCGCAGGAGACGCTAAAGACCCCGTGTGATCACATTGTGGGGTCATGGAACCCCCGGTGGAGGCGCCAGGACCCGTGTGGTCAGACCGTGGGGTCACAGAGCCCCCACAGGTGGCGCCAAAAACTCCGTGTGTTAAGCACGTGGGGTCATAGGACCCCCGGTGGAGACTCCAGGACCCCGTGTGGTGAGGAAGCGGGGTCGTAGAACCCCCGAACATGCACCAGAGTTTTGAAACGTCATGCTTTATCGTTGTTGCTCGTACAATTCTCGAGCTCGGTCGAATGCTGCTCGTGCAACTGTCGAAATATGACCGACACTTGTGCGTGCTTCCGTGAGCAAATTATATAGTAACCCAGCAACTATGGCAGTTTCTGCAGATACTACTACAGCCCAAGTTTCAAAGACGTAGACAATAGTTAGTTTCTGTAGTAACCTGTTGAACCAGACAACTATAATTAGTATAGGATTGTACAATATTTATGCAGTTATATTTAAGACAATTCGATGAAATGAAGCTTATATTACCTGACGTATGTTTATTGGAATATACATATATACATATAAATTATAATGATATAAAAGTTTGAAATACAATACGATACGTTACGGTACAATACGTCTATTCGACTCATGCTTTATCGGTAACGTCGGGTATTAACACTAAAATAGTAAGAGGACTTCTGACGCCCTCGAAGCATGGGACAGAAAATTATATTGCATGTTAGGTCTATTCTTATATCTCATCTGTGATCTTGTCTGTAGGAAACATACATACATAAGGTAAAGAAGAAATCTCTATTATGATCAGTTGAGAGTGCAGTGTTATCAACTGTCAATAATGATGTATTCTTCATAATTTACCCTGTGAAAATTTAAGGTTCGATATTCATAACGTTATTAAAAATATCAATATTTAAGTCTATTAATACTGCGAATAACCTTGTACTTTCTCTTTAGAAAGTGGAATTTGAATACTGCCGTGTAATTGAATATAAAAAGAGCGTCTGGAAAGCACAGATGTTTACAATTATTCACGTAACTAATTAAAATAGTGAAAAGTTTGTTGAACGAGAGAATCAAGTTCTGCTGGGTCGAGGAAGCTCGTGTTTCCGCGTTTAAACATTCAAATCGAAGCGATCCAACGAGGCTAATATGTGTTTCGCAATGACTGTCACTCTTCACACGCTTTCACGGTGTTTATTGCACACGGTGTGCATGCGTGAGAGTACAGGAAAGCACAGGTGAAGCATGTAGACGGGGGAGTTCTTCCGCTTTTAGCAATCGTAAAGCGCAGGTGCAGCTTGTTGCACAATGAACAATGCACGGATCGCCTCGCACGATTGCCGTTCCCGTAACGGTCGAACTCGACAAATTTCATGCGAGTGAAAAAAAAAAAAAAAGGCAACATAAGACTGAACGGCAATAAGAAACACGCGGCCCCCGTTAAAGAAACAGGGAGCGTGTGACATTGGGGAATGTGAAACGAAGTTTCTTGGAGAGTTTGTATTCCATCTTATGTTGGATTGGCGCACACGAGACTGTAGTTTTAACTGAAAAAACGGAAACTACGGAAATCGCTCAATTTCAACTTTGGCAATTTTATCGAAACAATTAACATGGAATTGGATATGCATTTTTTGATGATTGATTAAGTCATTTACGCATTGTTTTATCTTGGTAAGCATTATATCTGAAACGGCGATCTCTGACAGAGTTACATAATCTTTAGATTAACGTCTTGACTGCC